GAGAGGAAAATGAAATTAGTCTCTTACCAGAAAATCATTGAAATCAGTGTAGGAAAATGGATGGATATACAAATCGGAAATGTAACTCACCAATCACCTTACTAATTAGACTCATATATTCTCATCACATGTTATTTACAATTTTATCTCATCACATAGTCCGATACTATGTAGGAATGAGATTTAACTAACTCATCACACAACCCGTTGTTTTATAGAAATGAGAAAATATTACAGACATTACCAACTTGTGTAGGAATGAAAATTTCACTTCGCAATGACCTTTTTCTTTCCTTTTCCTTTGTGAGTAGGAATGAATTACATCTGAATACATTTCCCCATCAAAATTTACAAACATTTACTCAAGAAATTATATTCCTGTGAACCAATTTCAAACATTAAACAACAATAAGTAGTTAAATTACTATTTTTATAAAACTATCACACAAATAAATATATTGAAATAAAGGAACATCATTAAAATACTTCCAACGTTTTCCTAAAACAAAAGTCAATTTCCAAAAGATATGGATAATCATACACAGAAATGCTCTCCTAAGATCCTCATTTTGAGGACCTGTGAGGTCCTATTTCATTTCAACCCTTAAGATTAATTTGACTGTGAAATAATCCAAAATATGATATTATCCCTGTTACAACATAACAGAATAATAATGTTGTAACAGGGATAATAACAAAATATGATATTATTCCTGTTACAACATACCATATATATGACATTCACGCCTAAAACTCTTATTATTATTATTATTATCTTTACTTTTTTTTTATCAAAATTATTATTTTGTTATGTTGTAACAGGGATAATATCATATTTTGGATTATTTCACAGTCAAATTAATCTTAAGGGTTGAAATGAAATAGGACCTCACATATCCTCAAAATGAAGAACTTAGGAGAGCATTCCTGTAATCATACATACATAAATACGCACAGACACGCCCACACATATATAACTTTACTTTCTACGATTTGTAGCTCTTCCAGTGACCTGGAATTCTTATAATTTATAGCACAAGTCTACACACGCATTCTAGTTCCTCAAGAAATTACCACCAATCAAGAAAATCAAATCTCAGCATTATATAAGAAAGTAATATGTGAAATTCAATAGAATTCTAATTTCAAGTCTATTCCACAAACCTGGTAACAAACACAGGTATTATCCTAGGGTATCTAATCCCTAAGCTTTGATACCATTGGTCACGTCCTGATCCCTGAATAAAGACTATTCACGAGTTAGGGTGTGAGTCATATCTTAGTTATAAAAATAAATTCTACAACCAAGATATGGGGGAAAATAAAATAAAAAATTTGTAATGATTACTCAATACAACGTATAACAAAATTTTACATACATAAAATTTATTGAATACGCATCGGAATAAAATAGTGTACAAATTACTTTACAACCGAAACTACCAACAAAATAATAATTAAAATGTGACAATTCTTGCAAATACATAAAATATACACAAATGAGATGCATGAATGTACTCATTCTCTTCTAACCCCGCTCACACGTACCTAAGGCATCCAAGTCTGCACGTCTCATACCATACTTATACCACTTGGCTCCGAATACCTTAGAATATGAGTTAACTTCCGTTCATCCCTTAAACCCAATTTTTCATAATCAAATTCTCAGTTTCCATTTTATTATATAGACACTTCCCCCAACGTCCAATTGTATATTCAAGGTTTGTATATTCAAGCCATTTCCCCGACACGCTAACATATACAAGGTTCATTATTTTATAACCAAGCATTTGTATACTCAAGTCCTTCCCCCGACGCCTGACGTGTACAAGGTTCATTATTTTATATTCAAGGCAAACTTCAGCCCTTAAATATCCTCACAACTCTTTTTCTTACTTTACAAGAATGCTTATGTATATGCCATGTAGCAAGGATATCAATAATCACATGCTCTATAATATCTATAACACTAATCAAACTGTTAGTAGCCAAAATTGTATTATATCTGCAACACTAATCAAATTGTTAGTTGCCAAAATTGTATTATATTATCAATAATATACAGTATGGATAACACACAACAATCTAATTGAGAATATTACTTCACCATTTTACTCCATCTCTCTCTAGGTGATATTGATGCATAAACCCATTTGAGTTCCATAGAGCAATTCTATTGGGTAAGCTCTCATGCATTTTCTGGAATTTTTCTCTCTTATTTTACAACATTCTCAAGGGAAGTAAATGGAGACTTTCGATGGTTTAGTGGAGTGCTTCTCATGGCAATGATCTCAAAATGTAAATGCATAAACAACACAAGATTTAAATGGTTCACCAAATCGACTACATCTACTGGGGTTTGCTTTCATTGTATTTAACTATATATAAGAGACCTACAAATACAATGAAAGGTATCTTAAAGCCTTAACAATATGTAAAAGAAAGATAAGAGGTAATTTAATTTGAAGGGGAGAATGGTTTTTTGTTGGAGTTGTTATGTTTCTTTTTTCTTCTTCTTCCTCTCTCTTTTTCCCCATGTCTTCCGTTAGTTCTTGCTCCTTCCTTTACAAAGATTGCATGACATTTTTCTCTCCAAAAAAATCTCCTAAATGTGCCAATAGAAAGAAGCCAAGTGTGGTGCTAATCCTTACCATAAAATGTGTTCCAATAACAAGGCAACAAGTGTTGTCCTAATCATTAAGAATGATATGTATTCCAATGGAAAAACAACAAGTGTTAAGTTAATCATGAACTAATGAATATCATGCAAGATGTTCCTCGCATTAAAGGCAATGCGAAATGTTCTAACCACAATAAGTTTTCATCTTCCTCTATTTAGAGTGATGAATATCATCCTAATGGTTATCAACTTTGCCAACTCACCCTTATATATACTTCCACCTCTTATTTTAGAGTAATGAATAATACCTACTCTTTACTCTCTAATGATTGTCAAAATGGCACCTTGCCTTCATGAGAAAAATCAAGCCAAACTCGTCATAATCCCCTTCTCTAATTCAAACTAAATAATATCTCTAATTACATATGAAAATGAAATAATACTAGCTAGTTTGAAATAATTTTGTAGCAAAAAGGATTTGAGTAAATTGTAGCAATGTTCCCTTAACTTTCACTCAATTGAAGCAATGGACCCTCAACTAAAAATCCATTACCATTAGTCCCTCAACTCATCAAAACGTGCAACTATGATCCTTCAACTAAAAATTCATTATCATTGGTCCGTTAACTTTAATCCAACTGGAGAAATGGTTCCTCAACTTTAACTCATTTTGACAAAATTTTAACGAAGTTGACGAAAATGACTATAGCTACATGTTTTGATAAGCTAAGAGATCCCAATTATAGCAATGATCCTTCCAACATAATTTATTTTAACAAAATTTTAACGAAGTTAACAAAAAGAACCATAGTTACACATTTTGATTGGATTTTTAGTTGATGGACCATTGCTCCAATTTGATTTAAGTTAAGGGACCATTGCTACAATTTACTCAAAGGATTTTACGCTAAGACTATTTTACATATCGAAAGTAGATTCTCGTATAAAACAAATCTAATAAAATCATTACGTAAAAATAATTATCCACACACACATATATATAATATAGAATCATTTTTTATTAAATACGGGCTATTACAATTAATTAGTAAACAACTTATATGGTTTATTACTATTCCTATTCTGATTCCTTAAAATTTTAGTAAACAATTCTAACAGGAATCTGATTCCACCATATTCCAACTCCTCTTCAATTCAATTCAATTCTTCTTATTCTGATTACAAATTAGTAAATGAGCCATTAGGACAACTCATAGGACTGGAAAAACCTTGCACGGTTTAGTACTTACATCTAAACCTCTTCAAATTGAACCTGAGTCCTCTTGAGATTGAACTCGATTCTCACTTAATCTCCTAAATCAAATTTTGCTACTCAACCACCTGAAACTAACTCGTTTCTCAGGTTGCTCCATAGTGTCTAAATCCGTCAAAACCATTTATGTTACAAAACTAAGACCCAATGTTGTTGATATGTGTCGCAATAAGTACAATTTGGCTAAAAAATAATAATAGTTGGGTATTTTGAATTCAAAATTATCTTTTCCAAATATGAAAAATAAAACTCAACTTGTTTTTCACTTTGCTCCATTGTGTCCAAACCCATTAACAAATTTGTCAAAACTATATATATGTCAAAACTAGGACCCATTGTTGCTAAGATGTGTGACAATAAGTACAATTTGGCTAAAAAAATTAATAATAGTCGGGTGTTTTGAATTCAAAATTTCTTTTTAAAATAAGAAAAATAAGAATCTAACAAATTTTATGTGCACATGTGACGCACATCTCAACAACAATGCGTTACATTTGCGCCACGCAAACCATTTTAATAGATTTATTAACGAACTTGGTGGTAAGAGGTAAAATAAGACACCTATAAATTTCTGAAGGTTGACTTCAAGTAGGTTGAAGGTTGACTTCAAGTAGGTGAATGTTTTAAATAAAACTTTTTGTTTCGAATGGCTTCTCAAGGTTTCAAAGAAGTCTCCCTCAAAATACTTTAGTTGTCAATTCATAGAGTTTTGTATTCATAATAATCTCTACAAATATATAATCGTTAGTCATTAAATTGTATAAAAAAAAATAATGAATAAAAGTATTATAAATTGTTTATCTGTTTGTTATAGTTAATCGACAAAACAATCTTATTTTTAATTAATTTTTTTATAGAAAATAATTTTACATCATAATTTATAATATAAACGGTTCCGATTATAATCACTAAGTTATGTTCAGAGTATTTTTACTTGCATAAGGCATGGGTCCACGGGCGACAACCGTATATCCGACGTTACGAAATTACGAGCCACTTGTCTGTCTAGAGCGTCCCCACAACGTATATAAAGCCTTCACTCCGAAGCGAAGCGGGGTCAGCAGCAGCAGAGACTCCCTCTCCAAAAACCTAATAAAAAACCCTCGCACTAAACCTCCATTTCCCCTCGCTGGAAACTTGCCCCACCCGAAACAGCGTCGCACGAACGGTACCAGAAACCCTAGTTATACAGAGAGACTGAGAGAGACTAGAGCAGACGACATGTCGCAGTCACTGGAGCTTTTGCTGATACAATTCCTGATGCCGGACAACGACGCCCGGCGGCAGGCGGAGGACCAGATAAAGCGGTTGGCCAAGGACCCCCAGGTGGTTCCTGCGCTCGTACAGCACCTCCGCACTGCCAAGACGCCGAACGTGCGGCAATTGGCCGCCGTGCTTTTGAGGAAGAAGATCACTGGACACTGGGCCAAGCTCTCTCCTCAGAGTAAACACCTCGTTAAGCAGTCCCTCATTGAGAGCATCACAATGGAGCACAGGTCTGAATTTATATCTATTGCTTTGTTTTCGATTTTGGGTGATGCTTAATTGCTTGAGCTTGTGTGTCAGTGTCATTTATTTGCTTTACATTCAAAATGGTTTGCTTATTGATCTTCATGGTGTTTACGCAGTCCGCCGGTGAGGAGAGCCAGTGCCAATGTGGTTAGCGTCGTTGCAAAATATGCGGTCCCGGCTGGAGAATGGCCGGATTTGTTGCCCTTTCTGTTTCAATGTAGTCAGAGTGCACAGGAAGAACATAGAGAGGTAATTTCCGTTGTGTTCTGAAAAACCCTTTTCTTTTTCTTGTTGCACTCTCTATATCGTTCCCCATGTTAACTTCATTGCGCTTTATATAACTGTAATCCTGAAAGTTCATGAACACTTGTGACATTACTCACAAGAGGAGGCGTAATGGTTGGTAAGACTAAACCTTTGGTGCATTATTTGCAAAATGGAAGCTGAAAGTTTGACCGCTTTTTCCCTTCATTTCCCTACAATGTCCAAAGTTGTGGCATAAATTGTGTATGGAAGCTAATATAGCCGGGGTGATTCATGAGTTGTGCGATTATGCTTGTTTAGAAACCTTATGCATTATAGTTTTGGAGTAGGGGAACATAACAAGAATCTTTTGGAGGTGGTTTGTTGGCTAGTTTGGGGTATTTCGTATAGGACTAAATAATAGGATTATTGGAGATTCTAGGGGGGAAGTGGAAGGCTTGAGGATGGTGGTTGCAATTGGGTATCATTGTGGGCATCAATTTCTTTTGGGATATATCATTCTCCTGTATTACTGCAGATTAGAAGGCAGCTGATTGGGATAGTGCTGTATTGTTTTTGTTGGACCTTTTTATGTGCTGTTTAACAGCTAATATGCTAGAGGTTCTGCACTTTTTTATTGGACATATTTTCTGCTATGTATCGTTATTGTTGTCTCTTAATAAAATCTTTGAGTTTGTCGCAAAAAATAATTTTGACTGCAGCCAAAATTAAACATCTCCATAGAGTAGTTTCCTTCTAATTTATCTTAAAGCCCAAGTAATCCAAGCCATCGATAGGTAACTATTTCTTGGTCAAATGCACGCCACTCCAAACAGGTGCGGCAACGTGACCCAATTTTGTAATATGAAAGAGAAATGCAAAAAAGGGTGGAGAAGAATTGATGAGCATATGTTTGGAAGACATCACAAGTTTCTGTTTATGCTTTGGGCAACAAACAACAGAAAACCTGCACTTTTACCACTGTTCTAAATCATTAAATAACTTAATCAGGTGAACTTGATTAACTTATATTGAGTGGAAATGGATGGTCTATGAATTGAGCTATCAAAGGAATTTGTGTGATGAGGAGTTAGGAGAATTATCGGCTTTGCTGTTAAGAATAGAACAGATATGGTTATATCCTTCAAGAGCTGACTCAAGTCGATGGAGTCTGGAATCATTGGGAAGCTTTTCCATTAAATAGTTAAATATAATACAGATATGGATTTTCAGCCATATGGTTTGATTATGAAGTCTAAAGTTCCCCAATGTGAAAGTCTTTACCTGGTTAGGGGCTCAAGGGAAGGTTAACATGCGCGAAATGCTTCCGGAAAGGAGACCCACTAAACTAATGCCCTCAAAGGTGCATCCTTTGCAAGCATTGTCTAGAATCTGTTGATCATGTCTTTTTACATTATCTGGTGGTTCTGAAGCTTCGAGAGGAGATGGGTTATTTCCAGAGATTGCGTTGCTTTTATATGAGAGAAGCATAAAATAAAAATACCAGGAAAGTGGTAGAAAACCAGGACTTTATGGGGTTGTATTTTTTGGCTGTGTTATGGGTAATATGGATGGAAAGAAATAGGATGTTTTTTGAGGGTGGGAATCAGCAGAGAGGAGTTATTGGAGAAAGTTTGTTTATGGTCTTCAGGATTTTAAAGATGTGTTTTTTTTTTTTTTTTTTTTTTCAGTTATTTGGCTTGATTGGAACCCCACTATGGATTTTTCATAGCTGCTTTTTAGGGGTATTTCATTTGTTGTTTCACTGATCTTTCTTTTTTTTTTCTTTTTTTTTTTTTTGGCTTTGTTTTTATTTTGCGGACATCTTATCCACTTTTGTAATCCATCATTCAACTGTGAATGCAAACTCTTGTTTATGCTAGTATGTAGGTCAGATTCACTATACTGATTTATACGGTTGATTTTGCTTTGTTGAAATAAGGTGGCATTGATTCTGTTCAGCTCTTTGACTGAAACAATAGGGAATACTTTTCGGCCACATTTCGCAGATTTGCAAGCACTTCTCTTGAAATGCCTGCAGGATGAGACAAGCAACCGCGTCAGAGTTGCTGCACTCAAGTAATGCTTACTATATTCATAAGTTTGATATATTTATGCTTTTTTTTCTAATAAGTGATTAGCTTGTGTTTTCTCATTTGAATTGTTGAATTGTTATGCCAGGGCCGTAGGGTCTTTTCTGGAATTCACCCATGATGGGGTTGAAGTGGTGAGTTTGTATTCATGCTGTCTCTTTATATCACAAATAAATTCTTTTATGAGCAATACGTTCTTCAATATTGATTATCTGTTTCTGTTTGTCCTCTATACTTGGGTAAGTTGGATAACCTAAAATGATGTTGAAGATTTAAAGTTCCCGTGAATTACTATGTGTTTACTACTCAGCATGTTTGATAGCACAATGCATTTTTTTAAACAATTCAATTAAAAAAATTTAAACACAAAAATCACCAAACAGATAAGGCTTTTGAAATATAAACTAAAGCAACTATTTTATTATTTATAAGGATCCATCACCTATTATTTATAAGGATCCATCACCTTAACAACAAGAGTATCTCTTTCTTGGTTTAGAAAAATATACAAATAAATTCAGTCTTCTGTTGGTATGATGGAACGTGCTCTTGACTGGTTTTGGTGAGAGAGATTTTGGTTTAGCTCATAGATTCATTTGTCTTAGATTACACTGTATTGTTTTGTATTTGACAGACACATCAGACCTATGGTAATTTTTCCTTTGATTTTTTATTCTATTGGACATGATCATATATTCATTGGCTGTTACATCTTTTAGTATACCTAATGTTTGAATTTCATGGAATATGATCTTGGCTGGCTATGCGCTGAATGGTTGATGAAAAATAGCATTTCAGAACGTGATTTTTAGTGAGGCTGTGATGAAATTTATCACTTAACTCCCTGTGAACAGAGGATTAAAGTTCCTCTTTGAATCCTTTAATAAAATTTTCACAAGAGAAAATTACTCTCTCATCAAAACCACAGGTGATAGTCAGTTATAATTTTGGGATTCATTTGAAGACGAAATAGTGACCACGCTTTAATCAACATTCTTAAATAGACCAACATAAGATCCCAAGTCTGACTGACCAAACATGACAATCTTATTCCTTCGGCATTTTATTCCAAGCAATCTGATGCTTTCCACATCTCATGTCAAGCATTCCAAATAGGCATTTTGTTTTTTGTGTTATTTGCATTTTCTCCCAAATTTCTTGCAGTGTTACTAATTAGTTCGTTTTTATTGGCATTTATCGTATTCATACCAATCCAGGTGAAGTTTCGAGAATTCATACCCAGCATCTTAAATGTTTCAAGACAATGCCTTGCAGCTGGCGAGGAGGATGTTGCTATTATTGCTTTTGAAATTTTTGATGAGTTGATTGAATCTCCCGCACCTCTTCTTGGGGAATCTGTTAAGTCCATTGTGCAATTCTCTCTTGAAGTTTGCTCTAGTCAAAGTTTAGAATCTAATACACGTCATCAGGTTAGTAAAAAGGCTCAGTTTTCTCGTCTTTTCTGTATGCTCTCAATCTGTGGTTGGGCTGATAAGTTTGGGACTGGACCTAACAATTTCCGTTTGAGACCAAATTTTTTTGCCACTTTCCTTTCCATTTTGGCCCTCAAGATATGAAAAAGAAAAACTGAGACAGCTGAAAACCATAGTCGCTCCCACCAAGGATTCCCTCTTGCACCTGCTTGCTATTTCTCTCTTTCCTCTCTTTCTCCTCTCTATGCAAACTGCGGGATCAAAGGCCGGCAACTTTGCCCCTCAGATATGATCCTAACTAGCTCTTGCAGATCCGGTGTACTGGATGATGTGCTCTCTCTGTTGCTTGGGTGCGTAGCCCCATCAGCTCTCTCAGTTGTATGTGGGGATCTCTAGTGTTGCATTGCGATTTTGGGTTGTTGCAGCCTCAGGTTTCGACCTGCAACCTGGGGGTCGGAAGGGTCGTCAGCTTCCTACTGATCGGATTTGATAGTTGTAGAGAGAGAGAGAGAGAGAGAGAGAGAGAGAGAGAGAGGCAATTTTTCAGCAGCGCAGCCGTTACAGACTTCGATGGAAATTGGAGCTGCTGTGGGTTTTGCGCTTTTCAGTTTGTTTTTTTTTTTTTTTTAATGGGGGAAAAATGGAAAGGTGAAGTGGCAAAAAAAAAGTTGGTTCTCATCGGTAAACCAAGGCTCTCTGTCTGTTAATATTCCTCATCTTTGTTTCTTTCGTTTTTGCTGCTTCTCAGGCAGTTCAGATAGTTTCATGGCTAGCAAAGTATAAATCCAATTCCCTCAAAAAGCATAAGCTGGTCATCCCTATTCTGCAAGTTATGTGCCCATTGCTCGCGGAATCAAATGATGAAGATAAGGATGATGATCTTGCTCCAGATCGGGCTGCTGCAGAAGTTATTGATACTATGGCTTTGAACATACCAAAGCATGTTTTCCACCCTGTCTTTGAATTTTCTTCTTTAAGCAGTCAAAATGCAAATCCAAAATATCGGGAAGCATCTGTTACCGCTTTAGGTGTCATTTCAGAGGGTTGTTTGGAGATGATAAAAGATAAGTTGGATCCAGTTCTTCATATTGTTTTAGGCGCTCTGAGAGATCCTGAGGAAATGGTTAGGGGGGCTGCATCATTTGCATTGGGTCAGTTTGCGGAGCATTTGCAGCCTGAAATTGTTTCCCACTATCAAAGTGTGCTTCCTTGCATTTTGAATGCCCTCGAGGATGCATCTGACGAAGTGAAGGTATGTTTAGTAGAAGAAAATTAGAAGATTGGTATAGTTTATTCATATGTATTTGATATGATTAAAACAATCTGTATGTGCAGGAGAAGTCATATTATGCTTTGGCGGCATTTTGTGACAACATGGGTGAGGAAATTCTTCCATTCCTTGATCCATTGATGGGAAAACTACTGGGGGCCCTCCATAATAGCCCTCGTAATTTGCAGGAGACGTGCATGGTATGGTCGTCTTCTTTGGGCTGAAGATTTGAAGTAAATTCTTTTAAACATTATCTAGGTATCCAATGAATTATTTTAAATTTATTGATTTGCATCATATTGCAGTCTGCGATTGGTTCAGTTGCATCTGCTGCCGAACAGGCATTCGTTCCGTATGCTGAAGGGGTTTTGGAGTTGATGAAAAATTTCTTGGTGCTTAGTAATGATGAGGATCTTCGTTCACGAGCAAGAGCTACTGAATTAGTTGGAATAGTTGCAATGTGTGTGGGGAGAACTAGGATGGAACCAATTTTACCCCCTTATATAGAAGCTGCAATTTCTGTAATTTATATTTCCTCATTCCTTTGACTATGATTATTTTGTCTCAATGATGTTAGTTAACACATCTAGTGTTATCACAGGGTTTTGGATTGGAATTCAGTGAACTTCGGGAGTATATTCATGGATTCTTCAGCAATGTGGCAGAAATTTTGGATGATGGCTTTATACAGGTATGGAAGGCTTTAGTTGGGTTATGCTTATTATAATTATTCACTTGATGCCCGTTTTCACGAGTTATTTTTCCCTCTTTGGAAAACAGTATCTTCCTCATGTCGTACCCCTGGCGTTTTCTTCCTGCAATCTTGATGATGGAGCTGCAGTGGACATCGATGAGTCTGATGATGAAAACATTAATGGATTTGGTGGAGTTTCATCTGATGATGAAGCTCATGATGAGCCAAGAGTACGAAATATCAGCGTAAGAACAGGAGTTTTAGATGAAAAAGCAGCTGCAACTCAAGCTCTTGGCTTATTTGCACTACATACGAAGGCCTCATATGCACCGTATCCAACATGTAATTTTATTTGATCCTTAGGTTAGCATTCTAAGTTTATGGATATACAATGTTAATCAATAAGTATGATTTTGGTATCTTTGACTTCTTTTAAGCTATTTGGAGGAATCATTAAAGATCCTAGTACGACACTCAGGGTATTTCCATGAAGATGTTCGGCTACAAGCAATCATTTCACTGAAACGTGAGTTCAAACTTTTTGTCTGTATCTGCATGCTATCTGTCAAAGGTTACTCATCTTAAAGGATACTGGAAATGTGGATGAGCTGGTTAATTTTCATTGAGTACTGTCTTGTTTTTCTGTAGATTGTATGATATTAATATCACTTGTTCATTAACAACTCATGTTTGGTTGATTTCAAATACAGATATTTTAACAGCAGCACAGGCAGTTTACCAGAATCATAATGTTAGTGGCCATTCATCTCTCTCTCTCTCTCTCTCTCTCTCTCTCTCTCTCTCTCTCTCTCTCTAACTACTGACTTCTTCCATGTTGAATCATGTCTGATTTTTTTATTACTTAATATGACACAAACTTCAGACACCTGTTTCATTTACATATTTAGTATTGATCTGTACATGCAAGTGTGTGTCATGATCACTGTTATTTGGTTTTGCAAACTTGTTTGTAGCATATTCATCTGTGTATTGTAATGGCTTCTTGGACCCTCCTTTTTGGTGTCGCCTTGGTATATAGTTGAGATTTCATTTGAAATTATTAGGTATCAAAGTATGGTACTAAATGTTTTTGTGTTCTTGTTTTGCAGGAAGGACAAGCAAGGGCTAAGGAAATCCTGGGTAAGATAAAGACCTGAAAACAGAAGATATTTGTACCTGTCCTCATCCTGGTTTTCTGTTACATTATCATCAAACTCTTCAAAATCTGCAGATACTGTGATGAATACTTATATCAAGACTATGACTGAAGATGATGACAAGGAAGTTGTTGCTCAAGCTTGTATGAGCCTTGCTGATATCATCAAAGATTATGGATATATGGTTGTTGAGCCTTGTAAGTATGATTTGTAGTTGGGTGTTATCCTATTTGTTGAAGTAACTTCTAAAGGCTGATAAAATGATGTCATCCAATATCAGATGTACCACGGGTTGTTAATGCTACTCTGGTACTGCTTCGGGAGGAATCAGCTTGTCAGCAGACAGAATCCGATGATGAAATTGATGACGATGATGTTGTGCATGATGAAGAACTTATGGACGCAGTTTCTGACCTTCTTCCTGCTTTTGCGAAGTCAATGGGTCCTCATTTTGCACCTATTTTTGCTACGCTATTTGAACCTTTAATGAAATTCGCGGTGGGTTGCAAAAATATTATATCAAATTTAGTTGCAAGACCTTGCCAGCGTTTTGCTAGAATAGGTATTTTCCTAATTTAACCATTGGTGTGTTCAGAGAGCTTCACGGCCATTGCAAGATCGGACAATGGTTGTTGCCTGCCTTGCTGAAGTCGCTCAAGACATGGGTGCTCCAATTGCTGGATACGTCGATGTAAATTTTATCAAATTTCTTATACATTATTCTTTTAAAAGAAAATTAAAAATGTACATTAAGTTCTAGGATACATTAAGCTAGTTTCTGATATTTGTGTCTGGTTTCAGAGGGTGATGCCCTTGGTAATCAAAGAACTAGCATCATCAGACGCCACCAATAGAAGGAATGCTGCTTTTTGTGTTGGAGAGTTCTGTAAAAATGGGGGTGAAGGGACGTTGAAGTATCCTTTTTTATGTTAAAGACTTTTTAATGTCTTTTCCTTCTTCCTTATTTTTTCTTTGGAATTTTCTTTATCCTCTGATTGGTGTTCTGAGTTCAGGTATTACAGGATTTGTGACGAATATTTGTTTGTAGAAATTAGTTTGGCGTTGAAACCTAGAATGTGCCTTCTGCTAGCGTGTCCTTTAATCATTTTCCAGATACTATGGTGATATATTGCGTGGACTTTACCCACTATTTGGGGAATCTGAGCCAGATGATGCCGTCAGGGATAACGCAGCTGGTGCAGTGGCAAGGATGATAATGGTCTACTATTCAAAAATGCTTGTGTTTATGAACTTCCTGAGAAATTTGGGTCGACAATGTCTGCGCGGTAGGCTTGAAAAATTGGCGACAAGTGTAACCCTGATATTTGAATCACCAATATCTACTGTAGGATACTGTAGGCTTTGGTGCATTCACGCACTAGTCCGATGAACTGGTGCAAATATAGAACGTTTGCCCTCCATGCAACCCCCGAAGACGCGTCTTCTCTAAGATTCCACAGAAGTCCGCCGCAAGCATCTGACAGAGTAGCCGTGTTCATCTCATGGCAAATCGTACTTCACTTGTCCAAGGTACAGACCACAGGCAGGTGCCATGGGACTAGCAGCAGACACCGTCTTTGCCTTCAAGATCCTCTCGACTGTAAATTCCAATTTGTTTAGGAAAGAAAAAAAGGTTTAGCTCGTTAGAGGAGTAGGATCAAATTACGAAGAACAAAATCCATGCCGCTCACCATCAGGTACTTTTAAGTCTCCGGTGCCAACGCACTTGAGTACACCAACAAGCAGTCTAACCTGCATAAATCTCAACAGCCTCAGTAAATAGGTTGTAAACTGCTTGAACTGGAGGTAGATAGACTATAAATAGACTCCAAGATGAATTTCCAATCAATTTTTGGTATAACTCTCAGTTTCGGTTGGCATCATTTGAAAAGAAAAAAAAACTAATAAATTACCCAAAATATAAGTGTGGTAGAAATTAAACGATTCTGTAGAACTCATGACACAGTGCTCAATAAAGAGGGCACAACGCATTTATACGAGAGATATACAAAATAAAATTTTGAAAACTCAAAAAGGAGAACAAAAATTTCAAGTAATACTTATAATGCAAATAAATCCCTGTTAATTATGTCCGAATTCGCTAATGATAGATTTGTTAAGTTATTTTACGGGGGATGGTGGTACTGTCATTAGGGACGGGAACACTCAAATACTTTTAGGCTAGCAAAGTACACACCCAAAAGCAACCAAAAACAGTGCAAACTCGAGAAACGTTTGCCTCTCCCTATGAACAGAAGTCAAGATAACATAAACAGCAGGTGTGAATGAAAAAAAAAAAAAAAAAAAAAAAAAAAAAGGAGGAAAATTACGTTTAGGAACAAGAAGAAAGCATACAACACATACAAGAAATAATAAGCAAGATGTTTAGGAAGAAGAAACTCAACCTGGTGGTATAGAAAAGAACGTGCTCGTGCGGTTACCACAAAGCAACGGTGTTTTTTTCTCACGCCAAATCCTTGTCCTTCATTGAAACTAGAGGGTGTATCAGTCTCTGATTTGTTAGCGTGGGCATGAGGATCTTCCTCCACTAAATTGTTTTGTTTCCTCTCCATTATTGATGGAAAACAAGGACTTGACACTACCTCAGAAACATTAAGTTCATCCAACGTTCTGATCGGCGACTTTGCCTATAAATAACATAAGTTAAAAACATTATTCTTTTCCTTAATTTAGAGAACATCAAACACATACAACACATACAGGAAATAAAAGGAAAGAATATACAAGATAAGCTAGAATGAGTATGCTACGGTATAATGTCAATAGTAAAGCATTCAACACTTCGAAATATCTTCCTAATTACGTAAGTTACCTGTTGAAATATCTTCCTAGTACTTAGTAAAATACAGAAAGGGTATACTACATAAAAAAAAAATAAGTACATGTATTATTCCGCAACTTTACTAAAAAAAATACTTTGAAAAAATTGGCCATTTTTTTTTATTTTAATATTTTATTTATTAAAAATATTTATTTATTTTTAATACTTCAATAATATATTACATACAAAACGCATGTACGTACGTGTCTAATACTTTGGAGTTATAAAAAAGGTTGAATTTTAAGAATCATTAAAACGTGTACAGAAAACGGAAGTATTTTTGAAAAATACGTACTTACATGTATAATAAGCGTATTATATGTGAATTTACTAACTATGTCACATATAAGTTCCTGCCAACCTTTTGGTGAACGTTAACTCACAGATGCATCCTCAATCTGAATGAAGGTTAACAAAAGGACTATCTCAAGAGACAGTGGATACCAAAGACCATAAAGAGACGGGAATATCACAGATGCTATATCAACCAATAAAGATACATCTCATCATATACTTTTTTTTTTGTGGGTAGAAAAGAAACAAAAACCTCATAGTATAATATCAGCAAGCAAACAAGGGGAAGTACATTAAATCCTAACTAATTAGGAGGTAAGGAACAACCTGACAACCTGCTGCCCTAAAGGAACTAAAATCATGATGTCCAACCAGAACTTTGCATGCTTCCTGCATCAATTTGAATCAAGGAAATTGCATTAGACGAAAAATTAATGACCAGATATATTTAGAGCAAACATAATATTTGCCAAAACTGCAAAGGAACCTGCATAGAGCAAAGATCCAGCTCCTCAGGTACATGCCATGCCCGGTCTTTTTCAAAAGTTGACAAAGGATCTGGTCCGGACAGAAAACGGTAGAAGTACCTGAGGAAATTTCAACAAAGCCAAAAAAAAAAAAATTCATGTATGGTCCCTGAATCTCAGGCCTAACTACATCATTATTCAAACACAATCGAAAACAATACTGCTATGTTATATATTCTAAACAAAATTAGCTTACTGTAACTCAACCATTGAAAGGTTATGGTCCATTCTACAGAAGTTTATCTGGTGGATACCACCATACTATGTAAAATGGCAGATAGCGGCAATCTAGTTTACATTTGCCAGACTAACTTGAATATTCTACAAGTCAAGTAAGCATGGAAAAATATGTATGCGTACCATTAATAACATATACGAGTCCCCAGACATAACTTAAGGTTGCAGTTGTTTTACATAATTTCAGATTCATGAGTACCTACGTGCGCTCTTGGGCTTTATATCGAGCATGAAAATCTGCTGGAACACTTCGGACATCTATCACCATCACGTCACCTTCATTCTTCTGATGGAACAAAAACGAAGTGTCAGGATCTCCACATCAAAATAAAACTACAAAGTATATATTGGCTATAGTTTCAAATCCGCAATTCCAGATATACAATCAAACGAAGTCTCCATCTGATATTTTTGTGATTCGAACAATCAAAAGAAAGCACACCTGTAAGAAATGATTCACTGCTTTTTTGACCACTGCAGGTTCATGGGGTTCTAACTGCATTTCAACAAAATAAAAGTAACTTTTATATCAACCAGAGCTGTTCAAATATGAGGGTGCCTCTGTGTATGCATGCAAAACATGATCCTCAACCTACACTGAACACCAAAATAGGGCTATTAAAAGACAACAATTATCACCGACGCACTTGTTTAACTAAAAGTCCTTGAAATTTAATTATGACTCAAAGACCTAGTCTTTAGCTTCAGAATATGATGTTTCTTAATGGATTGATAAACATCAAATTTAACAGCATTTCACTCCACTTGTCCCGTCAATTATATGCAGTTGTATTATAAGTTAACATGTTAATTTTCAAATGAAATACCACTTCACCAGGCTTCCTTTTGCTAATACGCTCGACATCTACATGACAAACATTCGACAAGGCATGGACTCCAGCATCCTACAACAGCAAATGAGAATACATCCACCGCATCTCCCAGTTAATATAACGCTTGCTAAAAAATAAAGACGAAAAGGTGAAACTTAATACTCTTAATCTTATACTTCTTATGAGATAACAAGTCGAAGAAAACCAGCAATAGTAAATTACAAAGACAACAAAGTCCCAAGTAGACTTACAGTTCGACTCGAACAGAATATCGAAACCGGCTGCCCAATAAATTTACAAAATGCCTCCTACAAAAATCAAAAGATCAATTAACCGACCACTTGATTTGCAGCAAAATTAGCATTTCGAATTGAAGAAACTGAGGTTCCACCATAAAACCAATTGGCAATATGGGGAGTAACCCAACCTCTTATAAGCCCATGCAAGGCCCCTCCTCTCATCAATGTGGGACTAATTCTCAACACAAATAATACATAGACTGCAATGATCCGAAGCGGAGGAAATGAAAGGACAATACAACTTCAAAGGTAATGAAATTCTCATTGGTAACGAAAAAAGATTGAGCATTTATCATTCAATCTCAAATTCCACAGAAATCACCTCAAGAACGCCAACAACTGTGCGGCAATTGGACTGCTGCTGCGAGCCCGAAAAGCGAGTACCAATGTACTCGATTGCCAGAAGATATCGCTGGATTCGAGGGTGTTGGCTCATCGATTGCGGTTGCTGCGACTCCTGATCGCCGTCGCTGAAATCGTCGGTGGTTTTGGAAATCTTTGAAGGCCTTTGGGGAGATTGGGAGTTGCTGATGCTATGTAGTTCGAGTGGGTGCTTAAGATTTTCTGACATTGGACTCCAGAGTTTTGGGGGTGCAAAGTTTTGAACTTGGGGAAATCAGGGCTTTAGCTATTGTTTGAATGCAGGGTTGTACCCGAAACCCGACCCGCGTTTCATATGCACTGTAAAAGGAAAAATACACTTCTAACCTTACGGTTCGACGAAGAAATTTAAAATTATTACAGAATTTTAAAATGACGGAAATTGTATTGTCGAGATTTTATTTTCTAGAATTTGTGAATTTTCTTGTTTGGATAACCTAAAATAACAATGAAATTGAATACGGAATTTGTTATTTTTAAGCCCTCAATCATAGAAATTGGGAAATGACACATATTTATATGGAATTTAAACTTAGAAATTGGAGGTCACAAATTCCAAGTTTTTTTTTTTCACGCGAAAATTCTAAATTCCTATGTTTATAAGTCCAAACAAGGGAATTAGTTCATGTCAATTTACAAATTTTGATTTTATCTAAATTTCAAGTTTATTTTCCTCGTCCAAATATAATGTAAAAATGTATCAAGACAGACTTACATATATGCACAGGTCTTACCTATGCACTTAAGCACCAATCAATTAGTGATTTAATATGCATTTAGTTCGACTGATAAATATGTTTTTTATGATTTGAACCGTTTGCTTTATAAATCTTCTTTAATAGTTATCCTTACCAAAATTTTTTCAAATCGAAAAGACGTTTTTGTTCTTTTATGTAATTGTGACATAGAACAAAGACAAGAACGGTGTCATCGAACTACAACGAAATGATCAGGTCAATGATCAAATAGCTAAATGATTCTCAATTTGACTATAGTTAAGTTTAATTAAGTTCGACTCTAGTAAATAATTTATTATAATAAGTTCATTACATGGCTGAGCTAAATCCAATGGTGGAGTCTGCAATCACTTGAGCAAGTAATTATGGGTGTTGTATTCACACACTTTTTATAAATTTCTATCATTTGGTTTCTTCTGTACAATCCATTCTCGAATGCCGAAAATTAAAATGAGTGTAAAATGTAACATATAACATGAGGTGTGTGATAGCACCACACTTAATTATAACTGAACTAAATTTTCTATTTCGTAAAGACTAAATTAAGAATAATACTTGCATTCCTCTATTGGGGATGAACTCATTTTCCACTTGAAATAACGTAGCTGAAGAAAGTTGAAATTCTAACGTAAAATCAATTAGCGATTGGGGAGTTGCTCAATTGTTTATAAGCACATGCAAGTCCCTTATTTACGGATGAGGATCCTCTCCGAATTCCCTTTGTGGGAATTCTAGAGATCCTTACATCCTAGTCATCCATCGTACATCGTGCAGCCAATTTTCGTTAAGTATTATTTGTGTTTAATTTTAAATAAAAAAATTCAAAAAATCTAACTGCACGATATACGATGAGTGGTTAGAATGTGAGAATCCCCACAATTTGAATCCAGATGGGATTATCCCTTATTTCCCCAAAAAAAAAAAATTAATTGTTGGGTAAATTACAAAAAACTACCTCAACTATTGGTGTCACGACACTTTCATACCTTATTTTTTAAAATTGACAGTGTCATACCTCATCTTACAAATTTGTGCCAATGTCAGACTTCCGTTAGTTTTTCTGTTAATTTCTCAGTTAAGTGCTAACGTAGCTAGAGACGGGACCTATTTTTTATTAAAAAAATAATTAATTATTAAAAATTTTATAAAACAAAAAAACAAAAAACCAAAAAAAACCCATCAACCCGTGTCCCCCCTCCCCAAAAACCCAGATCCCTTTCTCTCCCACCCAACCTCGAGCTAATCCCTATTCATGTCGAGGAATCGGGGTTGTCGATGATGTTGATGTCTTCCTCGGGAAGAGATTGAAGGCTCTAATCAACTGCTTCGCATGCACAGACGGGAAGCTGGACTTAGCGAGCCTGATAGGGTTCGTGAGCTTGGCAGCGGCAATCGAAGAGAAAAGGAGGAGGAGGAGGTGAAGAGAGAGAGAAAGGTGATGAGGTGAGGGAGGAGAGAATTCGTGCGTTTCATGGCTTGTAAGTCTATGTTTTGGGGAGAGAGAAAGAGAGAAATGAGATAGGATAGAAGGGGATCTGGGTTTTCGGTGCACCTTCTCAAACCTTGCCCATTTTCTGAAACTTGATTCTGGGAATTGATGGTTTGGGTGTGTAGGAGGGGAAGGGGATCTGGGTGTGTGTATGAGGGTGATGGGTGTGTGGGAGTGGAAAAGGATCTGGGTGTGGGTTTGGTTTTTTTTTTTTTTTTTTTTTTTTTGGTGTGGGCTTGATATTTTTGGTTTCTTTAGTGGGGTGGTGAAGATGGAGGAAGAGAGGCGATGGTGGGGTGGTGAAGGAAGGTTGGGTATGGAAGGACCAAGGGAGGAACGGGTTGGGTTGGGAGGTCGTGGTGAGGGAAGGACGAGTACGAGTGGGGAGAGGGACGGAGGAGTGAGACCACATCCCAGAGAGAGGAGAGAGAGAAGAGAGAGAGAGGGTGACGGAGGACGGTTGGGGGGACGGGGAAGGGTTTAGTGGTTGTTGAAGAGAAGAATAAAAAAGGTTGGTGCCGGTGGAGAAAAGGGAAGGCCGGATGCCTTAGGCCATTTTTTAATTTTTTTAGTTTTTTAATTTTTAATTTTTAATTTTTTAAAATTTAATTAATTTTTTAATTAAAAAATAGGTCTCATCTCTAGCTACGTCAGCACTTAACTGAGAAATTAACAGAAAAACTGACAAATATCTGACATTGGCACAAATTCGTAAGATGAGATATGAAAATGTCGTAACACCGATAGTTGAGATAGTTTTTTGTCATTTACCCAAAATTGTTTAACAATTAATATTGATGCCCGTATTATTAATTTCTTCTCTTAAGTTTCTGAAGCCTTCGCTCTCATGGCCGTTTCCGTAAATTCTGGTGGCATTTGAGCAAGGAGATGTCCAACTCAGGGGATCCTCAGGCGGAGCAGTCGGAGCTCTTAACAGCTTCTTCCATACAAGCAACTTGGCACCGCCGTCGGCCACGGAGAGCCTTTGCCAATTTAGCGAGGGTCGTAGCCACAGAAGGTATTACTACAGCTAGCCATGACACCATGGAATAAATGTAACTCAATTGCACGATGCGTAGAGGGGGATTCTTGTTTCCGAATGTCAAAAGGTCGTATCAAAAAGTTAGAAGAAAATATAATGTAATTAACGGTTGTAATTCTAAATAAGAACGAAAGTTTTTTGTGATAAAACGTCACATCTGTCGTGCTAATATGTTGCAAGATGCAATCGGAGATAACCAATGAACCTCCCGTGTACATGAGACAAACAAATTGACCGAAAAACAACACAAACTGTTTATTGAAAAATCAATCTTTCGATATAGAGAGAAAAGACAAACATTGACTAGTAAGACCACTTGTTCACATGAAATTCAAAACTCACCCGCTAAATAACCCAAGCACAAAAACTAAACTCACAAACCAGCCTTGATAGAAAAATTGAAAAAAATATATAGCTAGAATTAAAAGGAAAACAAAAAAAAAAAAAAAAAAAAAGGATGATAAGAATCAAAACCTTCTGGACCTTAGGCAATGTGTATAACTCATGCCTAATTGTAGCATCGCTGTCATCATGGGCAGGCGTCGAGGGATAGATTTTTCGTGAGCGAGATGAGAGAACCCATCCTCATCCCACCAGATTCGACATCGATGTTTCTCCCTCCACCATTCATATGCTTCTGCAAAATGTGGTTAGTAGGGTTAGACCAAAATTAATTAACTGCAAGTTTTCTGCACAAATGTCATGATTAATGAAAACAAACGAAAGTGAACATTTGCTTTTTTTTTCATTTACTTTATGTCAAGTGTGTCACCAAAGCATCGTTAAGTTTAGGGAAATCATATATCTACAAGTACAATATGTAATAGAATACCATACAGATGAAAATTGTCATTTGAAAAAACCAACACAGCTCGTAAACTCAATAAAGTAGATGTCATGCTAAAATGCATTAGACAAAGAAAGGAAAACTTACAGTGATATCACCATTATCGTAATTTTCCATTTTCAAAGTTGCCGGTTTATTGCTCCTTTTGGCTTGCAGAGACTTCTCCCGATTTTCATAGAACGTAAAGTCATCTAGCAAAGACGTTTTAGCCGTGTAACTTTTAAAAATGTTCAGCATTTCCAAACCTTGCTTGAGGCCAATCTGAAAATTATAATACAAGTTACAACACTCTTAATTCAATCATGCCATAACAATGAAACAGAGAACATCCATCAGGGCAAACAAGGAAAACGAGGTTGTCATGTTTCACGGAAAAATACTGCTGCCGATGAGATAAAAAATAAATATAGTACCTCCTGAGTGTCCCGGGTAAAAGTTACTGGTCTGTTGTCATTGTTTTCAAGGATAATGTGCCGCAACTTAGAGTTCGGTATGTCCTTTATTACATGCCACTTTACTGGGAAGAACCCACTCCACTTGTCAACTTGCCAGAAATCCATATCTTTATTAAAATCTACCTGTCCAATCATCTCAGCTACACCAACAAACTGTCCACTTCCGTTTACCTGAGAACAATAATAAAAGTTCAATCTCAAATGCAAGACCTGGGAAACGAGACACTCTATAACCCAAAAATCAAGAGAAATTGCATATATCAAACTCACTGAGAAGAAGAGGAAGACGGGACACTGAGTGCTGGTTTGCCTCAATTTCAATTCCACATCATGAAATGTTGCATCTAGTTTCTTATTGCCGTTGGGAGTGCTGGCCCAAACATCATATTTAATGGACTTATGGACATCGTCTTCACTGTAAGACTTGATGACATAAAACTTTGCTCTTTCATAATCAGTCTGAAAATCTGGCAAGTTATATTTATCTCTACGGACACTAATTCCTAGTTCTTCCTTCTCAATTGGTGAGTCTAACGGAGAAATCTTGTTGTGGGACCTTGGACCACGTGTCAACTCAGCTGAGGATTCAAAATCTTCATTCCTGTTATATTTTTCCCTCAACTTGAAACTATCATTTCCATTCACAATTCTTCCATTAGATTTGTAGTATGTTTGACCAGTAGGAGGAAACAAACCATATTTCTGGTTGGTAAAAGATGAGAATCTTCCAGCTGGTGGGTATCCCTTCAAAACACCCGCTGAGAAATCATTACCCAGATGAGGAATCTGTGCATTTAAATTTATACCAACAATTTAGATGGTTCTGGTTATATATCAGCAAATAAATTTGGAAGTTACTGAACCAAAGTTGCAGAAATTCTGTTCCGAACCTTGTTTAGTGACTTGCTAGGTTGTGTAGGGAGAGGCTTGGAAAACTTGGTTGGGCCATTGGCTTTAGTCGACATAAAACCATTTGACCTAGATAAAGCAGTTGATGCATGTCCAGCCTTTACATTTCCAAAACCAGCATTTGCTGCAGTCGAGACGTTTCCACCAAATGTTGTGTCCCAGGAATAACAAGGCGCAGCTTCTGATCCATATGAAACAGGTGGTTGCATATATCCTGAGGAAGGATAATACTGTTGTTGGCCAACACCTTGCCCGTCCGCTCCCATCAGAGTTCCTGGGGCATATGGGTTATAGCTGGGAAGGTAATACACCATTGAACCATTGTCTGACTGCGCACCATGGAACAGTAATTAAGAAAAAGAAGAAATTGCATGCTCAATTAGAAATGATCACATTCATGAATAAATTAAGCATACTAGACCCAATTGAAACAGCTAAAAGATGAGCATACCGTATGTGAACCATTAGCATGCAGATAACCATGATCATCCATCTGCGTAAACGATCCAGTATATCCTGCACCCCAAAAAACCCAGAATTTGAGTACTAAAACGAATCTAAGTCGCAGAAATAACATGTACTTTGACTAAAGCACAGTTTAGACAAACCAAACTACATTAAGCACTCTTCTAGAAGTGTATTCACGTCTTTTATTCCACATTTGACACAGGGTTTCATGTTTTTGACGAAAAATACAGCTTTAGTATCTCAACAACATAATCCTTATTGCACTTTTCACGATGGATTTCATGTTTGAACTGTATACTCATGCTAATTGCCTAGTTGCAATCCTTGCAATCCTTACAAATAGATAGATGGATTGCATAACACATAAACCTTTAGTAACAGCAGCAAAGTTTTCATTGAAAAAACAAATTTTATTGCTCAATGGGAATCACCACTCAAAAATAATACAATAAGACTAAACGTGCAAAAGATGATAATAAAGATCTTACGTTGCTTAGGTGCATAAAGAAGAACTTCTTTCTTCCCAAGTAAATTAACGGCTTTAGTAGAACTCTATTACATAAATAAACTATGGAAAGTCAGACCAAACACAAAGAACCATTTTGACATCTAACCTGGGTAATAATAATTGTAACAGCTAGTAGGTGGATAGTAAGCACCATGCTCTCCAACTGAGACTTGATCGGTCTCACCTTTGATGCTAGAGGTGGCATCCAATAAAGGAGACATTGACTTTGAATCAGATGGTATTCCGTCTTTCCCAGAAACCTGCAAGAGAAATAAACAGAGAAGAACAGAAATGAGAATATTATAGTCAAGGCCGAACCTTCAACATTATCTAAAACACAACCCATGTCCAAATATCAACATCACAACTTGCAATTTAAAAAAAATCAAAACTTTAAGGATACAATAAAAAACACATGCAACATTGGTATTGGAATACAAAATCCAATCAATCAAGAAACAATCAACACGGCTAGAATTAAAGGACAGGGAGGGGGCAGAAAGCAGGGACAGATACAGAAAAAATGAAACATCAGGTAAAGAAAGGATTTACATACCACTTCTTGCTCACTCAATCCAGTAACAGGATCTGCCTTCAATACAGTGGATACAGGCTCCACTGGAAATAGATAGTCAAGAAAAACATCAGATGTTTGCCCATCCAAAATAAAATTTTCCATTAATTACGCAAAAATTGATATCAATCGGGTCAATCATATTAAATAGAACTTCAAGCAAATCATTACATGGATGCATAAACTGTAGCAAAACGAAATCATGATATTTTAGTAAAGAAAATTTGACTGCAACACAACAATTCATGGAATTTTCTACCATGAAAGCACATGTCTACGGCTTCCGAAAATTATTTAGCCCCAACACTCAATTCAATCATTTAAAACAAACCCAAAAATTATTTAACCTAAAAACCCTGCAAATATGATTGTCTACTAAAACTTGAAGCAAATTCCACTAAAGATTAAGAACTAGTCAATAATTACCTTTCTCAATTTTCTTTTCGCCCGCCATTACCAATCCTTGAAACCCAATTCAGCCTAGAACCGAACAACAAAGAAGGAAAAAAAGAGGAGGAAAATAGGGGTTAGTAAGGTGTAATAGCACTATTATCTTCCTAGGGTTTATAAGCCTCACAGCAGTGTGACCCTAACTGGTTAAACTTTCAAATTAAAGAAATATATTAATTCTAATTAAAAATTCACTATGAACTTAACCCTTAAGTTATCCTTTTTTTTTACAAAATTTGACCAGTATTTCAAAGGAGATTTGAAAAATAAGAGGGGCAACTTATGCAACAGGCGTAAATTAGCAAATCCATGAAATTAGGTCGTGAAAAAGATTTGATTTTTCCCTTGGAAAACACTAGATTCCATTTTCCCTTCTGATAGGGACATCTGGGTCATCTTCCTTTTTTCTAAAAAATAAAAAAATAAAAAAAATTGAAAGCTTCAGCAAAAAATAAATTAAAAAATATAGGAAGCGGAAAAATATGAGGACAAATTAATTAGACGTTTCAAAAAAATATCTCAACCCTGAGATATTTTTCAAACGCATTTGAAATTCTTCTTCCGCAAGATTTGTTGATTTGATGAAATCAATGCAAGAAAAGAAGAGGAAATTTTCAAATTTTGAATTTTAAAATTCAAAAACTCGTTTCCTTTTTTCCCAAGAAAATCTCTCTGGTTTCAACGATACTACAAGCAGAAAAATCCAAACAAAAATATACCAAACTAGGAAAAAAAAAATAGAAGCAGAAAGGGGGATTCATAGTCGATTTTCATGTAAAACGCAAGAACAGAAAAGTTAAAAGTTGAAATTTGAAATTTTAATTTAATTTTCATACTAAAAACAAGAAGCTTCTACCAATCAAAACAGCGAACGAAAGCGTTTCGAAGAACCAAAAATTTGATTTAAATGAACAAAAAACGCAAAAAGTGAGAAGAGAAACGCACCTAAGAAACGCGGATCGAAACGAGTGAGGCCGATCTGCTGCGATAAAAGGAAGAACCGCTTCTGCGATTCGAATTCTAGAGAGAAGAGAGAGAGAGAGAGGAGTGAGACGAGTGTGCGACTGCAGAAGAAGAAGTGGGAGGGGAACCGGCACTGACGCACTGTGTGGTGTAAGCCCTTAAGAAATAATGGAATGATCGAGGGTCACGATTAGTTCCTAGTTCTTTGAAGAAGGTTTTGGAGCCGTTGGATTAGTGTGGTCAAAAAAGTGGGTGCCGACGTTTTGGGAAGGGCCTTCTCATTTAATTTCCCGTTGTTTGTTTGTTTGGAGGGGATTTGAAAATTTGTTACTTCGGGTCGGTTTTATGTTTTTTGATTTGTTTTGCTCGGTGTCCTCCGCTCCGTTTTTAGCAAATAGTTTGAGCACATGACTTTTCGGGTCGGTTTTATGTTTTATGATTTGTTTTGCTCGCTGTCCTCCACGCCCTTTTTAGCAAATAGTTTGAGCACATGACTTTTCACAATCGCATTTTAAGACTCGTTTAAAAATGTTTTTAAAATAATTAAAACTTGAAAGTATTATCAGTGTAAATATTTTAAATCAAATTTTAGTAATAATCTAAATGAATACATAAAAAACACTATAAATGCTCCATGCAAGCACTTAATGTGTTGTTAAAATCCAAAATCAATTTCAATAAAAGCGTTTTTATTTATTTTAAAAATACTTCCAAATGAACACTTAGTGTTCGTTAATTGTATTTATTTTAAAATTTCAATGTATGATACATGTACTTTAACGTTTCATACAAATTAGATGGGGGGTGGTTGTTTGGACTTGAAAAATATGACATGAAGATAACAAGAGTGGAAAAGTACAGAAATGAAGACACTATAAAATGACGTTAAATGTCAGAAAAACGACCATTAACTCTCAAACAACAAACTAAGACGACGTTTGTAGGTGGAGCACAAGAAGGTGGGAGCTTTTTGTTTTTTTTTTGAACAAACGGTAGTATCTACTAAGGGGGAGGGAGGTGGGTTTGGCCTCACAATGAGCTAACAATAATGTGGTTCAAATTCTCCTTTGATGAGAATCGAACCTAAGACCTCTCTCATACAATTGAAGAGGAATACCTCTAGACTGTAGTACTAAATGGCAAGAAGATGGGAGTTCTAGAGGGGAATGGGGAGTTTATTCTTTCTAACCCCTAAAGAGAGAAGTTCTTGCTTTTCCACATATTTCGGCTTTATTTTCTGTGTTTATTTTGCTTATTTTATATATGTCTCCCATCTAATTGATGGACACATATTCTTTCACTTAATCTCGTGTCACTTAATACTACAGTTTAATGATATTTCTCTTCACTTATTAATGAGAGATTTCATATTCAAATCTCAGATATCATAAATTCGGTACCAACTTTCTCAGTGTTATCGTGCCTCCCTTCCTACCCAATTATCTGACTAATATCAGTACAAAAAATAAACAGGGAGATCCATCACCCTCGTTCTACTTGAATCTCTAACAAAAACTCTCCCCCATTTTATCTAAATTTATAGCAGAAATAAATGTGTCGCAGAGGAGGGATCGTAGTAAACATGTCGTGCATATGCTGTAATACGATACAAAAGAGTGGCCCATTAAGTTTGCATGCTCTTAGTTGCCCAACTACAATTTTACAATATTTAGGCCTGAAAAGGCCCAACTTTATCATCCTCCCTCCATAACACTATCTAATCCTTCTCCCAAATTTGTTTGATTTGCCTAGCAAATCCCCTTGATAAATCAAAAGAAAGAACCGACTTTCACATATAGCACGGCTAGCTTCAACAAAATCAAGCACATATATATATATATATATATATATATATATTAAACTCCAAAAAATGATGGAGAAAAAAAAAAAACATGTTCGTTTCTTATTAGACCAAAGTATCTTGTTTGAACTTGGGACCTTTTCCGTTTTTATCGACATTCTTGGAATTTTGGGAAGTGGCTAAAGACGAGGACGACTGAAAGGATTCGGGAGAGTGACGAGGAAACTCCGATAGCATCTGAACGACTTCTCTCATCGTCGGCCTTTCGACGCTGTTTTCTTGGATGCAAAGCATTGCAATGAAGAACATGTGCATTACTTCATCTTTGGGCAGAGATATTGTAAGCCTATGATCAACAATATTTGTAACGTCCTCTTTGCGACAATTCGTTGCTTTCTTCGACCACTGCACAATGTCCACGCCTTCACCGAACTCGCCCACCGGCCGACGCCCTGTCAGAAGCTCTAACAGCACAACTCCAAAGCTATATACATCGCTCTTCTCGTCCACCCTCAGTGTGTATGCATACTCTGCAACACATGCATGCATATATAACAAGCATCAGTACCAAAACTCGGAAAGAAAATAAACCCACAACAAAAGGGGCTAGGGCCCAAATTTGAAACAAAGCAAAAAGTAGGGCAGAAAAATAAAAAAGTGAATGGATTGATGCGAGTTGCAAGAGGGAGAACCGAAAGGAAAGCAAAGCAGTCGGGGCTTTCAACGGGCAGTGGTGACCTATATATATAATAAACATGTATGTATATAAATTAATGTCCGGTTGGCTTTCATGGCAGTCATGTGCTGTTGGATTAGACATCACTGTCAGACTTCTGTCCTGTGTTGTGTATTGTGTGTCATTGTCAGATTGACCTCACAGAGTACACATTCTGATATCAGACCGAGAGAGCGGATGATAGGTTTCACGTCAACCGGTTTTACAATCAGGTAGCGTTTTATTATATTAATATAACGAGATGTGTCAAAATTTATATATATTATAATTTTATTATAAATAATAATAAAATGATGAAGTTGTTTCATATAAATTTTTCTTCAAGATGCGGCACTGTGTATATATATATAATGAGTGTATTTTTGTTCATCGTCATTTAGTGTAGTATATGCTCACTACCTTCTTTATTACTATTAGATGAGTTTGAATTTTGAGATTTGTGCTTATTCACTACACGAATCTTGAAATTCAAACTCATCTAACGATGATAAATAAGATAATGAGCGTACACCCCACTAATAATGGTGAATAAAAATACTCCCTAATACTAAACAGTGGACCTCAGAATAATGAGTAGTCTGGCACAGAACTTAGGAGAGGAGAGGAGAGAGGCAGTTTGTGTGTTTTGTGTTACCAAGAAAATTCCATGCATAATGATCTTATTTGTTTCTTCCCTCTCTGTCTCTGTCTCTGTCGACGGTGGACACAGATTGCGGTGGTTTATAGACGTGCCAAATTTTAGTTTTCTTTTTCTTTTCTCCCTTTGGTTCAGGTCAAGTGCAAGGAGATGTGTGTGTGTCATGGTTTTTTCTAGGGTTTCGTGTGTACCGGTACTGCATGCATATAGATTTTTATGGGAGGGACTTCGAGAGATTGTGCAGGTGCAGGCCTTGTGGTACTATAGGAATCACATTTACCAATTAAAGGTATTAGGAATCCGAATCACACAACTCAAAAATCAATAAACAAAAGAAAAATAAGGAATAAGAAAATGATTTACACTCTTCTTTTCGTTTTATATAATTTTGTTTAATTATGTATATTATTTTCTTTTGATTTATTTATTAATAATTTAAAAAAAAAATTATATGTGTTTGGCTAAAAAATGTGTGTGAAAATCAACTCCATAAGAAATATAGTAAATGAACTTAGGTTTTCTTCTTCATCGTTTTTTTATTTTATTTTTTTTATGTTAGAAGATGTCTCAAGATGCAATTCCCCTCCCCTTTTAATTAAGTATTTAAAGAAAAAATTTCTAACACCTAAATGGACCCAAAATTTAGAACCAAAAAATAAAAAATAAAAAAAAATAAATAAAGGACCCAAACTAACACCTTAAGTTCTCAACCAAGAAAACAAACTAATGCCCTACATGATTACACTGGTATGTATATTCTTTATGGTCATGATCAAGTCCAAATAATAAAGGAAAAGTAAACATTTTTGCATAAGAAATCATGTCCAATTAAAAAAAATGTAAAATATTAACAAAAATGATTTTATAAAATCCAAAAAACTGTATTTTTAGACCAATGCATAAGCATTGAAAACTGACGACTATGATTGTCTAATGATGTGGCCCACAATTTTGACAAGAGCAAAAATTCACATATTAACTAACTTAACTACCAATGTAGTACCCACTTCGGTCAATGCATCAATACATTAGACAACTGAATTTGCATAGCAATCTTTCGTTATAAACAAACCTAGGAATAAAATCATAGTAAAGTAAAATTGATAGAGAAGAAGAAACTATTAACATACCTGGTGCAATGTAGCCATAAGAGCCTGCAATTGCAGACATGCATTGAGACGTACCCCCATCCATCAAGAACTTGGCAAGCCCGAAATCCGCAACGTGCGCTTCAAAGCTCGAATTGAGCAAAATGTTGTTCGATTTCACGTCCCGGTGAAGAATCAATGGAGAACAATCATGGTGAAGGTAACACAAGCCTTTGGCAGCTTCAATTGCAATTTTGTACCTCAGATTCCACCCCAAGAAACCTCCCTTCTTCCCATGCAGTGCCTCTCCCAAGCTTCCGTTTCTCATGTACTCGTAAACAAGCAGATTGGTCTCTTTGTTCGAACAAAATGCCAGCAGCCTCACAATGTTTCTATGCCGAATGTTGCCTAACGTTTGGATTTCGGCTTTGAAGCCATGATCGTGGCTATTCGGTCCAAAACCAAGTAGCTTTTTCACTGCAATTTCAACCCCATTCGGCATTTTTCCATGGTAAACAATCCCTGCTCCCCCTCTTCCAATCACATTCCCGTCCATCACGCATTCAAGGATGTCAGCAATTGTGAATTCCAGCTTCTGGAATGCAGTTATTTTCCATGAATCAGAACCGTTTCTTTTGAATGATTTGGCCTTGATGATAGCAGCCGCAGCAAACACAAGTGAGCATATTAGCAGGCCTAATGCAAAGATCAGCTTGAAATCCCTGTGGGTTTTTGGGGGTGTGCTTGTGATTGTGGTGAAGTTGCAAGGGTTATTTAAGAAAGAGCCGCAAAGGTGGGGATTTCCGGCGAAAGCAGAAGCATTAAAGAAAGCGAACTGTCCTGATTCTGGTAGTTTTCCAGAGAAATTATTGAAGGAAAAATCAGCAATTGTGAGGCTCTTCATGGTTCCTATTGATTTGGGAATGTTTTGGTTCAAGTGGTTTCTCGATATGTTCAAGTAATTCAGGATGTGAACGTTGGAAATTTCTGGTGGGATGGAGCCGGACAGGTTGTTCTGGCTCATGTCAAGGTAAGTGAGACGGAAACAGTTTCCGATTTCTGGTGGGATTTCGCCAGAGAGCAAATTTCTGCTAAGATCAAGCTTTAGTACTTGATGGAGTTGGCTTATTGAAGGTGGGATTGGACCGGAGAATTGATTTCTGCTAAGTAGGAGGATTTGGAGGGAAGAGAAATTTGAAAGCGAAAATGGTAGAGGACCGGATAGGAGGTTGTCCGACAGATTAAGCTGGCCTAATTTCGCTGGCTGCGACGAGCTATTAGCATTCTCCGATAACATGCCAGATAGGTAATTGTTTTGCAACTCTGCTAAATTCAGCAGAGGCAAATAAATTAAGCCATTTGGTATGCTACCGTTTAGGTAATTCTGCCCCAACCTCACTCTAGTGAGACTAAAACATGTCCCCAAGCCTTGAGGGATTGGACCGAAAAGAAAGTTTTTCAAGAGAATTAGTATTCTTAGCTGATTGGATGAACACAAGTTTGGTGGGATTTGGCCGGTGAGCTTGTTCGAGGACAAATCGAGCAGTTGAAGCTTCCCATTCTGGCCAAGTTTCTGCGGGATGATCCCGGTGAAGTTGTTCATCCACAGCCCGAGTGTTTCCAAATTAGGCAAGTCTGCGACGTAGTCTGGAATCGAGCCATGCAATCTGTTCATGAAGAGGTTGAAAAGCTTGAGCTGTTTGAGAGTGGAAAACTCAAATGGGATTTCACCAGTAAGTGCATTGTTGGAGAGATCAAGATTGACCAAGTTTGTCAAGTTGCCTATATGCCTTGGAATTGAACCTGAAAGAAGATTGATGTACAAGTAAAGCGTGTCGAGTGCCTTCAAATTCCCCAGCTCGCGGGGAATTCGCCCGTCCAGTTCGCAGCTCGAGAGATCCATGTGAACCATATTGACCAATTTTCCAAACTCCTTTGGAATCCCACCTTCAAAAACATTGTAATACCCCAAGTACAGCTCTCTCAAGTTAGTGAGGTTGCCCAACTCACCCGGAATTTTGCCAATGAGATCATTGCCGGCAAGTGACAAGTACTCCAAGCTGACTAAATTCCCATAAGATTTTGGGATTTTCCCACTGAAAAAATTGCCTCCAAGTTCCAAGAACCTGATCTTGTTCAAGCTCAAAATCCCAAGTGGAAGAGGAGCAGTGAAGTTGTTGTTATAAGCATCAAAAACTTCCAAATTGGCAATGCCTGAGTAGTTCCAATCCAGTCCTCCACTGAATTGATTGTTGGATATGTTGAGGAACTGAAGGCTTGTGAGATTGGCAATGGCAATGCTGCCAGTGAAGTTGTTTCCTGCAAGAGAAAGGTCGGTGAGGCGGTCGAGGCCTGAAACCAGTGGAGATACAGAGCCGGATAGACTGAAATCTGTTAAGTCCACTGCAACAACTCTTCCTCTATTGCACCGAACTCCGAACCACGAACAAACTGATCGTGGAGACGAAGAATTCCAAGTGCTTAAGGCCGGTTCCGGGAATTGGAAGCCTTGCTTGAGAGTGACTAAAACATGAAAATCACTGACCAAGGAAGAAGCAAAACAAGATGTGCCAACAAGATAGAAAAATGTCAAGACAATAAAGGGGAAGACCATCATGCATGTGTGTTATTGTTTGCTGGAAAATAGTCAAGAAAATAGGTGTTGGAAGTATTCAAGGAGAAGATGGAGGGATTTAAGCATTTGAGATTTTCCGATAAGGGACAGGAAAGCAGGAGGAATCTGAGAAAAATGAAGTGAGTATGGGGTTAAGGAATCAAACATCTTCTTTCACAAAGAGTCTTCAAATACAAGGAAGAAGTAAGCCTTTGCTTTTCTCCTTTTTGTCTCTTTATTTTCTGTTCTTTTCTCTTCTCTCAGAGAAGAGAGGAAGTTTGAAATTCTGGTAAGCGAGGAGCCTTCTTCAGACAAAGCAAAGATGGAAAAAGCAGGAAGAAAAAGGATAGAAGAAGGTTTGTTGAAAACTTTTTATTTTTGAGAAAAAAAAAATATGAGAACAAATGAAATATAAGAGCCGTTGGATAACAAATTTAAAGTTAATATTTGGGAAGGAAAGGAAAAGTTCATGAGATGATGCTCTCTCTTTCTTTATTATATGACAAAAATGCCCTTTAGCTTTAATCAAAGGGGATGTGCTATGCTAGCTCTTTATTGCTTTGAATGAGAGTAGTGGTGATGGAGCTGCATTTTCAATTCAATCATTGAAAATGGTAACATTATCTCGAAGCTTTTGGTAAATGACTGTATTTTTCAAAATCTATATGATGATGTAGTTGTGAGAAAGAAAAAAGAAAGGTGATAGGGAAGAAATATTCCTCAAAGTTGCAATGTGTGAGTGAAAATCGAGGTTATAGCAATGAAGAAATACGTACAAATAAAATCGATTATGAGTTTTTAATCAACAATGAAAGTGAGAGAAACCTAAATCATGGTCTTATACATAAATTATTGAATGTTTAGAATTAGGTACAAGAATGTTTGCATAAATAACTTTCGTATGATTTCCACAGGGCAATTGATATGGTACAGCTAGGTAGCATCTTTTGTTCTTCATGATCATGTCATAAAATTTATGTTTGCAGGAATTGTAAAGAAAGCACATAAAGACTTATTCGATCGATCATGCATGGAGGACCCATCAAATAGTAAATATAATACATATGATAGCAACCATGCATGCTTGCCTCATCATGTCATGACAATCTGTAAGCATCACAGTGTGCGTGCTTCATCAGTCTGCAGGCATAATTGCACATAGATAATTTTCTTAATAATGCATGTAGTTTAATATCTTAGTAAATATGGTGTTGGATTCTACCTATGTATTCTGGATTTAAAGTTTTTACATTTTTTAAATGATCATAATAGTGTTTCGAACCCCACCCTCAACAATAATAATTAATAAATAAATAAATAAATTAGGAAAAAAAAAACAACACAACAACTATAAGTCGAGCCTTAGAAAAACAGTTTATACAAAAAAATAATAACTAAACAGAAAAAATAAAAATAGGGAGTGGTAATTTTCCATATGTAGAATAATATATAAGTCGAGAGTCCTTTGATCATTCTTGAGTTGGAAACATGTGCCTGGTGCAACATGTACAGTGGATAGTAAGAAGTAAAAGATGATGATTATTAATATATGATTACTATGTTTGTTTGAATGATCAATATATAATTACGTTTGTTGTGTGAATATATAGGCTGCATGGAATAAGAAACCAGCGCAGTGGAAGCTTTTACTGTGCAATGCAGCAACAGCAACTTTATTCCGTTCGATCTCCTTCCTTGCCCTACACAGACGGCCAGCCGGGACCAACTCTCTATGTACAATGTAAGATCGATGGCGGTAGTATATTTAAGTATTTCTTAGAAGATGGAACAGTCTTAAAGTGAGGGCTCAAAAGTAAAAGCAGATATATAGACATGCTCAATCTGCTTTTTGATCTTCCACTTCAGAAGAAAAACAAATAAAGAAGAAAGAAAAGAGAAAAATAATAATAATAATACCCCCCCCCCCCCTCCCCCCACCCCCACCCTTCACCAAATTCACACGGAAAAGAGTGTTCTTGTGTTAACTTGAACAAACTCTGTCTATCTCTCTCAAGAAAAATCCATGGCCCTTCATACATGGGAAAGAGTGCTCTTGTAGCAACAATAACTCTCTCACTCCCTCTCTCTCTCACACACACATATACAAAGTCGTAGGGTTTTGTCATGCAAATGCAAGTACTGTAGTGGTTGGATTGGATCCACACTATGATACTCCCATGGCAAGGAAGGAGTAATTGGGTGGAAGAGTGTGCTCTTTTTGAGGAGTCTCAATCTGTCTTATTGAAAGGCAGGCCTGCCATTTTTAAGGGTCACTGTCTTTGTGGCCTTGGCTAATAAACCCTAATGTGATCACTCACTGTGCTGCTTAGTAATAGCATAATTGGGATACGAGTCTCAAGTAGTTAGTTAAACCCCAAGAGGGAACGTACTTCAACTTTGTCTAAACATTTCTATTTGATGTGAATTATGCAAACAGCCAAGAGAAGGATTGGATTGGTAATCAAACATTTACACAATATTGAGATACTATTTTGTGATCAGTCGTCCCTTCGTATGCAACAAGTTCTAGTCCACAGGACCATTAGTTATCATATCGGGTGCATCATATTGTTAAATTTTTTCATAAATGGTATGAGGTATTATTTTGGAGGAGAACTCCAGAATCCAAAGAGCGTGCGAGTCAAAGAAATGTTTCACGTCCGAAATTTATATAAAAGCCTTATAAGTTATATGAATTAAGCCATTTTTTCGTATTGCCACTTAGTTTTTAATTAGGTGGAAACTCAACTTCAATCATGGTATTAAAGAATGTTTATTCACATGTTGAATCTGAATTCCAATGGCTAGATGATCTTAAAAAACACCGAAGTGTTGGACTGAAATTTGCATGATACAAGTAACTATAGCCTAGAAAGAAGCAGGCATTTCTCAAAGTCATGCAATTAAAATTGTCTGTCTCTGAGCCTCTCACAAATTCATATCAATTGTGATGGAGTGTGTAAGAATGTGAATAAATGTTACACATCGAAAATTTACAAAATTTTGCAGGGCCTATAAGAAGTTGGGTGATCTTATTACCTATTGGGTTTTGGGTGGATCATTAAAGAAGTTTGTTATTAAGTTGATTAAGAACATTCACCTTTGCACATGAGGTCTAATCTTCAGTTCTCCTCTCCCACAAATCACTTGTGTAAAAATACTCAAATGTAACTGTCACATCCCGGCCCAGGCCCCCACCACATCCCGGGCTCAACTCTACCGTAGCACCATATTGTTCTCTTTGGACCCCTACCACACTCTCACTGTTTTGTTTCTGGGAACTCACACGAGAACTTCCCAGTGGGTCACCCATCATGGGATTGCTCTCGCGCTACTCGCTTAACTTCGGAGTTCCCATGGAACCCGAAGTCAATAAGCTCCCAAAAGGCCTTGTGCTAGATAGAGATGAGAATATACATATAAGGCTTACATGATCCACTCCTCTTGATGATATGGGATGTTATAGTAACTATCTACAATCACGTGTTTATTTTTCACCTAATTTCTTAATTAGGTGTGGTCAATTATGTATAGATTTTTTTTTTCGTATTAGGTTTAACAAATTATATATAAACATATTTTTTCCTCTCTTGAGAATAGAGATAAATAGATGGTTAATTAGTTTTGCTATACAAATAATAAGTAAAAAATGTGGGACTGCAAAGTTTTTTATATTGACTTCACATAGCACTGCCAAATTGCCCAAAAGAGAGAACCATATTCTCCTCTCCTTTTGGCAATTGGGACAATTTTGTTTTTCTCACTACTGATTCGAGCTAAAAGAATGTACATATGTTCTATATACTATATTGGCTTTAAAAAAAAAAAATAAACTGTTAAATTTTCAAGCAAAGCGATTCCTTCGAATATATTGTAAAATATGTGTAGAAAATATATTGTAAAAAAACTCACAAATAAGCAAAACAGATAGCCAAAGGTCAAGACTGAGTGCGAGTAAAGAGATACCACTTACGTGGTTCGACACTCGACAGCGTCACTTTGTATCCATGTTCATGGGAAAGGAAGATTGCAAGTAATTTCTGCAATCTCAATCTCACAACCATATACAATATATAGAACCAATTGATCTACTTCGAAATAATTAATTAGTAAAGAAAAGGAGATTAAGAAGATCAATAATGCAATTTGACATTATTGTTGACACAATCTCTAATATATGTCTTATCATTTTATAGATGGCTCACATGTATTAAAAAGGTACTACTGTCCACACATCATTTCTTACTTTACACACATCTTTATCAATTTCCGGCATTCGGATAAAATGAATTGAAGAATATCAATGACAAAATTTAACAAAGGTGTGCGAGAAATAAAAATAAGTATTTAAGAAGTAAAAATAGGTATGTGAATAGCATTATCCTTAAAAAATGTATCAACAATGATGTTACTCTGATCATATTTCATAAATTGCCAACAAACGATCTCAAAATGTAATTAAATATAAAGAGTAAATGGGTTAGGGGAACTAAAGGAGGACAACCATACAAATTGGTGCCAAATGGGATTAAACAAGGTTATACAAGAGAGACAACATGATTACAATCTCACGTATGAAATCAATGTTGAGACGGAAAGAACATTATTGTCCTTTGACTAGAAAGGAATCAATATTTGACGCTGCAACCCTTTAATCAATATTTGCTTTCCTCAAAAGATAGGGGTTTGAGTTTACTTAAAGGAGAAAGGAATCATCCTTGTAAATAAGGTGGCAAATAAAAGGTGTCCTTGTAATTTAACGGATAAAAAGAATAAAGAGAAAGAGAGAAACTGTGCTATACCTCTCTTTCAACGATAATTATGATGCATTTTAAAGGATAAAAACATTATGCTTCACATGAATGACAAGAAAAAATTAATGCATATGATATGGATATTGTTAACGTGAATATCTGGATGACCTGGTTCCACTCTTGCTATGAATCAAAATCTATGAGAATCCAGACCAATAGTACTTATGGGAAATATCAAAGATCAGCCAACATTATCAATGTTTAGCTTTAATTTTTATGCTACACAAGATCCATTCATTAAATCATTTTATACATCAAATATTTAATGACGAAATTAATATTTACAAAATTATCATGCGTCAATTGAACGAATATATTTTTTGTATTGACAACGATGGGTATAACCGTTAATTGATGGGGAATCCGTTACCCGATGGGTATAGTTATGGATAATACTCGATGGTTAATTAACGGTTATAGATATGGTTAATTTTCATGGTTATGAGGATGGATATAGCATTTCCATCCCTAAACTGAATCGTTGACATCCCTATATATTGTAATTAGTGGTGCAACTTGAGTTGAGTCAATTTGAATCTGCCAAT